ATTTCTCGATTAATCATTAATCTTTTTGATCGATTAAAAATGTTTTGATCGCTAATTAAAATACTCACCTCTCCGCCGGCTTCCAGGTGTCCCATCGGAGATCCGGTGACGTCACCGGACTCCTCCCCCAAGTGGCTCTGTCGGCTAACGAAGGGAAAGGGGGAGGAGTCCGGTGATGTCGATGTCCCCAAGTGGCTCCTTCGGCTAACAACACCCGGAAGCCGGCAGAGGTGAGTATTTTCAAAACATTTTTTTGAATTGAAAAGATTTTTTGAATTGAAAAGATCAATGAGCATAATATACCTATCTGTGTAAGCAAGGCAAACCTAGGCCGGTAAATGTTTTACAGACTCCTTTTTCAAATTGTATAAATTTACAGTACTTAGTTCAGTGCAACCCTAACGGATTACACGTCCGGGGCTGCAACTACACAGTTACAGGCTAACTACTTGGGGGTGATTGGTTAATAGAACGCCAAGCCCATGACAAGTAGTTTCCCTCCTGCAAACTACTAGTAGCTTCGGGTCGGTGACGGCTTTGGGCATGCTGTAGACTCCTTGCAGCCTATATTTTGTCAACACCTTAGACGGCTTAAGCACTTCTGTGGCTCAGAAGTATTGCCTTTAAGTTTATTCTATTAACAAGCTTTCCTAGTTCAGACAGTATTTGTAAAAGGTTGACAGAGGTGCTATGGCAGTATAGTAATTCATGATGGGGGTATGAAATGCAAATCATAGTATATGGCAATAAAACTTTAAACTAAAACTCTATATGAAGTACTTCATTCCGATACTAGCATCGGTATCGGGACATCCCTAAATATTATGTTATATCATCCTTAAAATGGACTTTGCTGGTGTATGAACTTGCTGCTTTTGCCATTGATATTTAGCCTCTATTTAAGATTCAGAAAACTTTATGAGGTCCCACTCTATAGTGTTCTCTCCTTTGATTTAAGACTTTCTTATGATTGTGCGACTTCCACTTCCTATTGCCTGTCATTGGAGTATTTGTCCCCGCTCCTGTCTCTCTCTCTCCCCTTGAGATGTGGGGTTCTGCCCGGACTGATCCGCTTGAGTGCACGGACGTCAAACCTGCTTAATTGGTAGGTGGTGTTCCTACCTAGTTACCCATAGATCACATAATTATGGCTTTGTATATGCTCATTGATCTTTTCAATTATGCAGATATCTTCCAACTCCTGAGGAAGCGCCTTTTGAGCGTGAAATGTTGAAATCATATGACTCCTCCACTGAATATTCTAAAAAAACAATCATGTTTGTATTTTGAATCATGTTATAACAGTATGTTTATTCATCCAATCATGTATCATCCAATCATGTAGTTCTGATTTAGGTTACGTATTAAGTGGAGTGAGTCTCTTAGATATTTGATCAGCTGGTTGTTACCAATTAATTTTATCCATATTACATATGTTTTAACCATTATTTAATTATTTTTTATCATCTATCATTTTGGAATTGTGAATTGGTACCTAAAAAACCCCCCACTTTTCTTTCTCTTTGTGATTACTATGTCCATATGTAAAGCTCCACGTGTTCAGTGCCCAAGCCTTATGCTTTTGTGTGTAATATTTTTTTCTTTTATTAAAGGCACAGGAGCAACACCAACTGATTCTTTTACTACTGGTAATATTGTGGAAGACTTGGCATTTACAAAAGGCATCACAAATTTGACAGCTGTTAAAGTTCTTGGCGAACAGCAGAGCGAATTGCGTGTCCAAACAACTATTGCTCCTCTAAATGTTACCCCTGTTTCTTCAGCACCAGCACAAAATAGTGACACCACTCAGGTGGCAGAGAAGAAGGGGGACACTTCTGAGACAACTGTCCTTTTCAGCAACTTGGTAAAACTAAAAACATCAGCAGGTGCTCATTCCACAGACAAGCCAACCACTGACAACCAGATGTTTGACACAAAAGATGTAGTTGGCACCAACTTGCTACCCACCAAAGAGGATGATGGTGATGATGAATATAATTTTGAAAAGGATCATGTCATGACATCTAAGAGTAAGGACACCTTGGGCAGAGCTGACACATTTCCTGAAACAAGCAACCAGGAGCCTTCCAATGTGGACTATGAGTCGGATACCAATGATTATGAATTTAAAACTGACGAGGACAGTCACAATGAAGACAGTCACTTCTTTTTGCACTTGGTTCTAGTAGGACTTTTAATTATTATGGTATATATTGCTTACCACAACAAACGAAAGGTATGTTTTATGTACCCTATAGGCAAAATAGGTATTTCTGCTTTAAAGCATATCTAAAACGAAGAACAAAAATGTAATATATTGAGGCTTAACTGGTCCTTAGATTTGGTGGCTGCATTCTTTTTATTTTATATAGGCTTTATCACCTGGTGTTCCGGTCAGCAACACATTTCTGTCCTACAATGACAGCGGACACTGGAGCAGTTTTGTCACAGTAGGACAAGACTACAGAATACCGCCCCCATTTTTGCCATAATATGGGGGTATTCTGTAGTTCAGAGATAGCTGGTAACTCTGCTAAGAATCGGATAATACTGACTTTGGAATGAAACATGAACTCATTTATTGAAGAAGAGCACACAGACTTTATACCTCGCACAATCAGATAGGAGTAGGGCTGCAGCTAACGATTATTTTCATAATAGATTAGTTAGCCGATTATTAAGTTCGATTAATCGACTAATCGGATAAAAAAAAAAAGGCTCCAGTGATGGACTACTAGTTTCTATTGAGATTGTAGTCCATCACGGGAGCAAGCTTGGCGCGGTGGAAGTAAAAAAAAGTGTTGTGTGCAATTTAGTATAAAAAAAAAACACACAGGAAACATTACAAAGCTCCCGGCCGATCTCGACTTACCTTGAATGACGGTGTTGTCGGCGGGCAGCGGCGTTGTTCGTTGTCGGCAGGCAGCGGCGAGTCGGGAAGCTCACCGGGAGGAGAGGGCCAGACGCATGTCCTCAGCGTGGGCGTGGCGTACGCGGGTATACCAGCGTAGGCGCGAGCGGCTTAACTGACGTGGGCGTGGCGTAAGCGGCGAGCTGGAAATTTGAATTTTAGCCAACGATTCGACGATGGAAAACGATGCCAAATTTTTCCATCGTCTATTTTAATCGACTTAATCAAATAATTGTTGCAGCTCTAGATAGGAGTGCAGTGTGTTCCCTCCCCTAGACAACCAGGTGCCGCATTGAATTTTCTTAATTAGAGAAGAGCTTAATCCCATCACTCCAAACAATCACTCCAAACAATCACTCCAAACATCACTCCAAACAAACAGACAGCCTGCTGCCTTTTACAAAAATGGTTCACATCAAGTCAAATAGTGACCAGCTCTCCCCAGAAAAAATATTCAACTGGAAAACACACACGGCACACAGTTCTCCGGGGTAATAAATCTCTGCAGCCCTAGGTCCGTCACAAAAGTAACCTAGTGATAACATAAATATGTTGCTTTCTCCTGTTTCTGAAGTTGCCTAGCTCTAGATTGTGGCTTTAATACCAACCAATGCAGTGGGACCTATTTGCATAGCAGGAAAATCATAGTCAAAATTCCTTATCTGCATTAGTGAACGTATTTAAGCATAAGGGTCAGTGACAGCTAGGTTTAACAACAGGTTTCAGTTTGCATTGTGTATTCATGTTGAAATTCTCCCACTCTCCAGGCAAAGGCAAACATGTTCACTTTAATGCCTCCTTCCCCAGCTGCACATGCTTTTTCTTTAGTCTCCCACCTCTTCTTTCAGTCATTGGGAGCAAAGAAAAGACAGCCCCATGTAAGCCCTAATTCATTTCCAACAGTTTTCCCAAGTCATCTTCCAGGGCAGCATCTGAGAGAGAGAATCCACTCACCCAAACAGGAAACACATCATCCACAATTAAAATAAAAGGGGCGGTACAGCCCCACCACCTCAGTTTTTTGTGTTTCCTCTGGCCTAACAGGAGCATCGTAACCGTTTGTTATTTTCTCTATAGGCTTGCGTGCTAGTTGCAGGGGCCTCCCAGTGTGTGCTCCCCTGTGAATCGGGGACAGTGGACCTGGGGGGGGTTGCATGCCTGGGCTTGTACGAGGATTAAAGGAGAACTATGAGATGAGTGATTTCCACTCACCTCATAGTTCTAGTCGACCTGTGACAAAGACTGTCACAGGTCGGCTCAGTAGATCGGGAGGTGAGCGAACACATACCGGGTTCGCTCACCTCTCAATCCTGTCACGGCTCTCTGCCGTGACAGGGGGAGAAGCTGGATTCCCCTCTCCGATCTGCCAGCACTGACTGGTGGAACGGACGGGGGAGGGGGCGGGTACAGCTGGCTCTGCCTCTAGATAGGCAGAGCCAGCTGTCACTTACGCAGCTGGGCGGATCTCGACGTCGGGATCCGCTCCGGCTGCGGCGTCTCAGTATACCGCGAGCTGTAGCTCGCGGTATACTGAGCTTAGGGTAACGTGAGGACGCTAGTTTGTGTCCTCCCGTTACCCTAAGGAGAACTATGGCGAAAAACACTGACCCCATAGTTCTCCTTTAACCTTCAGGTTATTCTATTATGGGACCCTCCCTCATCTATCCCTGGGGTTTCTTATCCGCCTTGAGGAAAAGCAACCATCCCTGGGTGCATATCGGCTCAAGCAGAGCTTTCCCTTACTCTCATTTGGTTCGGCTCAGAGTTCTCCTCTGCCTTGCCTTGTATGGGGCGGTTTGCCATCCATGCCTCCCTATGTGTGCTGCCATGTTGTGGATATTTATATCCTGTAGCATTCAGGGCCTCCTTGAATGGACAGCTATGCGATGGAGTGGTGAGTACCCCTGGCACCAGCATCCACAGACACCAGGGAGGGAGTGCAGCGGGCGAGGGACGGAGCCACAAGCAGTCATGAACATGAGGTGTTCCACAAGGCTTCCTCTGGTTGGCAGTGCTAAACCATGCAGCCTGATTTCTGCTGTGTCATTCACGGACACTAATGGCTCCAAAGGAAGGTTGGAGGCTTAGAGGGAAGTCTCCTTCCTCCTACCCCCCATTCTGTGAGCAGGGCACAGGAGGTAATCCTCCTTTTGGTTGTTGGTTGCTGAGGGTTGTGGTGCCTCTTAACACATGTTTTGTATGTGTGATATGTCGTTCCACCAGTGATGTGGCTAGTTGGAGGCATGAGCTGCAGTGCAAACACCTTTTCAATCTGCAAGCAGCAACCCCCGACAATAGGCAACCTAATTACTCCTTCCTACACTGCTGGGGTTAGTGTTACACAGGAGTATTGGGGAAAGCCCAATGTCACGCTTTTGGCAATCTCCTTTTTGTGTTGGAACATATACAGGTGAAACTTGAATAATTAGAATATCGTGCAAAAGTCCATTTATTTCACTAATGCAACTTAAAAGGTGACACTAATATATGAGATACACTCATTACATGAGTTGGTGTGTGCCTATCCATTCTTCCTCCATACTCTGGGTCCTTGGTTTCCAAATGAGATGCAAAATTTGCTCTCATCAGAAAAGAGGACTTTGGACCACTGAGCAACAGACCAGGTCTGTTTTTCTTTAGCCCAGGTAAGACGCTTCTGACGTTTGTTGTTCAAGAGTGGCTTGACAAGAGGAATATGACATTTGAAGCCCATGTCCAGGATCTGTCTGTGTGTGGTGGCTCTTGATGCACTGACTCCAGCCTTATATATATATATATATATATTAGGGCTGCGGAAATTAACGATTAATTTCTCGATTAATCATGAATCTTTTTGATTGATTAAAAATGTTTTGATCGCTACTGAAAACTCACCTCTCCGCCGGCTTCCGGGTGTCCTGTCGGAGATCCGGTGATGTCACCAGATTCCTCCCCCAAGTGGCTCCGTCGGCTAACGAAGGGAAGGGGGGGAGGAGTCCGGTGACGTCGATGTCCCCACGTGGCTTCTTCGGCTAACGACACCCGGAAGCCGGCAGAGGTGAGTATTTTCATTAGCGATCAAAAAAATGTTTTTAATTGAAAAGATCAATGAGCATAATATACCTATCTGTGTAAGCAAGGCAAACCTAGGCCGGTAAATGTTTTACAGACTCCTTTTGCAAATTGTATAAATTTACAGTACTTAGTTCAGTGCAACCCTAACGGATTACACGTCCGGGGCTGCACCTACACAGTTACAGGCTAACTACTTGGGGGTGATTGGTTAATAGAACGCCAAGCCCATGACAAGTAGTTTCCCTCCTGCAAACTACTAGTAGGTTCGGGTCGGTGACGGCTTGGGCATGCTGTAGACTCCTTGCAGCCTATATAATGTCAACCCCTTAGACCAGTGGTTCTCAACCTGTGTAACCTCAGGACCCACATTTGTCCTTGGTCATGAAGTCGCGACCCAAGTCGCACCGCATTGGAGCGCACGGCATTGAGGGACCGCACGTTCCGATGCGGGCAATCAAACTGTGTACAGGAGATGCGTTTGGGGTGCCGTTCAAATGAATGGCAATGCAACACAACTCCCACACCAGAATTTGCGGTAGGTGCGATTTTTGCGTGGTACAATGCAGTAATCGCAATGGACTGTGCAATTAACGCTCTACTAGTGTGAACGGACCCTCAAAAATACTCAGACACACAACCACAGACACAATCTCTCACAGCCAATTACGGCAGGCTTTCTATTCATTAATACAGGCTTTGTATTCAGCGCTGAGCCAATCACGGCAGGCTTTCTATCCATTAATACAAGCCTGCCGTGATTGCCGCGACCCGTGATTGCCGTGATCCACTGCAGAAGGGCTCGCGACCCACGAGTTGAGAACCACTGCCTTAGACGGCTTAAGCACTGGTTTTTTCTGTGTTCCCCTGGGCCTCACAATGTTATTCTTGCATGTCTTCCCTCTTTATCGAGCATCCATGTTATAACGGTAAACTTTGTGCCAGATTTACAGCAGCTGGCTGCTGCTCGTGCTCCCAACATATAGGATAGTGTCATTATGTAATTGGGTGGTATCTATGTTACACCACATCGATAAACTGAACATATCAGATAATGTTCTTATGTAATCAGTGGTGTCACACCACATCGATAAACTGGGGGCAAGTTGACCCAGTTGGTAGTACTGATGGCAGTGTAGGGCTGCAGCCAGACTTGCCACTTACATTTTTTATTCTAACTCGTCCATGAGTAGTAACAAGCTCCCTCATCCTGGCTACAGAAGTTGCCAGATGCTACTTAGAAGTCAGTCACCCTTGGAGGAAATCCAAGAATATCTTGGCCTGTTCAGAGCCTTATGAAGACTGTAAAGCGGCATAACACCAATGGCTGGTGACTTTAGCTATCCATTGACCTTTCATCCTCCAAAGGATTTCTGGCATGCTCCAAGAGGACATTAGTCTTCTTGAACCTGGAAGAGCTGAGGTTTCCCCAGAGCACATATGGAGGAAAGCCGCTAGATCTTGCCACTCTCCGTTCTGCCCTAACATTGACAAGTCGCAGTCCAGTCTTTAAACACTTTAACAGCTGCTCTTGAACATTTAACAAATTCTGCTGTTTTGCTGATACTCGCTCCATGGCTCCGGGTGCCAACAATCATCCCACGTTCAAAGGCTGTTAAATCGCGTTGTTTACCCATATCTTCAGAAAAAAAAATCACTTCTACTGTCGTGGTAAACAACCTGCTTCCCTATTTATAATGGTCTGGCCCTCTAGCAACTTCAGCGTGAAATTATAGCTAATTTGCCTACAAACGTCAGGTGGTCATAATAATCTGGCCACTCAGTGTATATAGTGCCGACAATTTATGCAGCGCTTCACACATTCACATCAGTATATCAAGGTTTGCAAGAGTGTATGGTGCACACAAACTGCATACCTTTTTTAGTTGCTGAGGAGTTTTTAAAGCCGATGTATAAGAAGTAGTCACGCATAAACAATTACACAATAGCTTTTTCATGGAACTGCTTTCAAAGTCTCTCTAGCAGCGTTTGCTAGGGTGATGGGCAGATAGACATGTGCTTTACTGCCATCCATTGGTCCCTGTCCTTTTCTCCTCCACCAATGAGAAGGACTGCAGGCATGAAAGATCAAGAGGTGACCACTTTTAATTAAAACTATCATATCACAGGAATCCTTAAAGGAGAACTACGGGGTTAGGGCTTTTCCCCATAGTTCTCCTAAGGGTAACGGGAGGACACAAACTAGCGTCCAATTATGTCTGCATCCGCCCAGCTACGTGGGTGACAGCTGGCTCTGCCTAGCTAGAGGCAGCTGTACCATCCGTTCTGCCAGTCAGCGCTGGAGGATCAGAGCGGGGAGGGGGGGAATCCAGTCCCTCCCATGTCACGGCTCTCTGCCGTGACAGGATCGAGAAATGAGCTTGTAGAGGGAAACTGCTCTTTTTCTGAGGCAAAAAAGTAATTGCAGGTGTAATACATTAATACTTTGTTAATACTAGGGATGCACCGATATATCGTCCGCCGAAACATATCGGCCGAAAATTGCACTTTTGGCATAATGCCGAAAGAGCCATGTTTCAGCCGATACATCGGCGCATCCCTGGTATCTTTTCTCCCCGCTGGGCGCTGCCTTTTGTTCCAGCGGGGAGAAAAGAAAGTGACAGCCGGCCGAGCGCTGCAGGATGAGAGCGCTGTGAGCGGCCGGCGTCTCTCCTCCCACACTGCTCGGCCGCCTATCACAGTCCGGCAGAGCGGTGTGGGGGCGGAGACAGCGCTGTCACAGGAGGCTGGGCTCTCCTCTCTACACCGCTTGATCAGCCTCCTGTGACAGCGTGTTAGAGAGAAAAGCAATGTACACACACTCAGCGATCAGTGATCGCTGAGTGTGTGTACATAATTGAGGATATGGTATGTTAACTATATCATCAATTATTAATGAATGGGAGTGATCTACATCACCCCCATTCATTCATAATTGTAGTTATAGTAAACAAACAATGTTCTCATGTTATCAATGAACAGGAACACTCATAGAGGATTCCTGTTCATTGATAACAGGGGACACAGAAAAAGAGAAAAAATCTCTTTTAAAAGGAAAATATCAGGGGTCTAATATTGCCCCGAAGCCCCTAAAAGTAAAGTAAAAAATTAAAATATTTAATAAAAAATGAATTAAACAAAAATAAATATAAAAAAATTAAAACGTTTATAAAAAATAAAATATTTTTAAAAATTGAAAAAATAAAAAACCTTTTCGGTATGACTTTTTTTATTTCGGTTTCGTTTCGGTTTTAAAGTTTCCATTTCGGTGCATCGCTAGTTAATACGTTTAATATTTTGTTTTAGATCTTCCTTTTGGTCCAGAAAAGAAGATGGAGGGACAGCCTGTGCTCAAAGAATGCTGGTTATCGTCGTCTGGATCAGAATGTGATTGAAGCAATGCCTTCTCTTAAAAGAACCAATAATTATACTCTTTGAAGGACTTTAAGCATTGTCAACTTGTTTGCCTTTTTTAGGATGAATTGACATAACTCTTTTGGACAGTTGGTTAGTTCAGTTTAAAGGTTTTTTTGTTTTTTTTAAATGGCTATTTCACAGACTTTTATAATCTGTATTCACTATGCATTAAATAATTATTCATCTTGTGAATGTATTTAATGTTGGTAAAAATCATGCAATTGTTCCTTGTCTTTTTTATTATGTAATGTGTTAATGCTCTGGTTTTAGTTTGCAGAGAAATATGTCCAAGCATGAATTCATTTTTACTAGGGATGTCCCGATACCACTTTTTCAAGACCAAGTACCTCCCCTCATGTACTTGCCGATACCAATTACCGATACTTTTTCTTAAAGGGACAGGTGACTTTTTTTTTTTAAAAACAATGCAGACAAACAATTTTAAGCAAATTTCTTTATGATTATGAAGAACTTTAATTTAAGAGTTGTTTTAGAAAAATAAAACATTTGTATTTGCTTTCAGACAGCTATCCCATCATGCATGTGCCTCTAGGATTATTTAACCTATTCATGTTAGCAGGGGAGAATTGTAAATCTATTGCTGTAGTGGAGGTGTGTGCTGTATACATGTACTACATATACAGTACACAATGCAGCAATAGATTTACAATTTTCCTTGACTAACATGAATGGGTTACAATTACATGTTATGTAATATAGAATATTTAATCCATTCATATTAGGGGATAATAGTAAATCTATTGCTGCAGTGTGTACTCTATATGTACTGCATATAGAGTACACACTGCAGCAATAGATTTACAATTTTCCTTGACTAACATGAATGGGTTACAATTACATGTTATGTAATATAGAATATTTAATCCATTCATATTAGGGGATAATAGTAAATCTATTGCTGCAGTGTGTACTCTATATGCAGTACATATAGAGTACACACTGCAGACAATCATTTACTATTTTCCCCTGCTAGTACAATAAATTGTTCTTATGAGGGACCCCAGGCCCTCACTCACTGTTAGTTTCCTCGCTGGTGAGGTCGCGCTGTGTCGGAGAGCAGCGGCGAGGAGCTCCAGGTGGGGGTCCTAATTTAGCTGGTCTGCGAATGCTCTCAGGTCCTCTGGACAGTCGCCGGTGTTCTGTCGACGCTGAGAACTCATCGACCTCACGGACCTCTGACGTCTCCTCCGGGTTCTGCCAGTAGGTCAGCTACACGTAAGGACCTTCTGCGCATGCATTGCCACTCACCGAGCCTTACATCCCCACACTGCGCCTGCGTCCCTTTCTCACGGCCGTTAACTTCTCCAACTACACACAGCTCCTGTCCAGTTCAACTACCATGCACTGCGCTTGCGTGCCCTTCTCGCCGAGTCTGCGAACTATACACTGCGCTTGCGCTGTCCATTTCAACTATTAAAATACATAAATAAACAAACTTATATATTAAATAAATCCATCTCTTTAGAAAAAATATATCTAAACTACTATTACAATAAATAAACTTATATATTCAATAAATAAACCTCTTTTAAAAAATATAAAACTACTAAAATATGTATTTCTTTTAGTAGATTTATATATATTTTTTTCTTTAAAGAGGTTTATTTATTGAATATATAAGTTTATTTATGGATTTATTTTGGTAGTTGAAATGGACAGCGCAAGTGCAGTGTATAGTTCGCACACTCGACGAGAAGGGCACGCAAGCGCAGTGCATGGTAGTTGAACTGGACAGGAGCTGTGTGTAGTTGGAGAAGTTAACGGCCGTGAGAAAGGGACGCAAGCGCAGTGTGGGAATGTAATGATCGGTGAGTGGAAACACATGCGCGGAAGGTCCTTAAGTGAAGCTGACAGACTGGCAGTACCCGGATGCGACGTCAGAGGTGCGCGCGGTCGATGAGTTCTCAGCGTCGACAGTACAGGACCTGGAGCTCCTCCCACCGGACCAGCGCTGACTCGCCGTTGCTCTCCAAGTAAGTAAAAAAAAATAAAAAATCATAGCGCAAGCTTTGGTGCTATGTATTGGGGCATTTTGGCAAGCACCAGTACTTGTCAAAATGCCCTGTATCGGGACATCCCTAATTTTTACCCTTTCAAAAATCTAGGCCTAATGCTGAAGTTTATTCTGTTTATAGTTTGCCTTTCCTGGTTCTTCCCGTCAGCAATATGCTAATGAAATGTTTGAATAAAACCTTTGTTTACAATTCAATTACATTATTTTAGACCAAGTGATGTAATTACTGAATTTGTGTACTTTAGATTCCTGAAAACCAGTTCATTCCCTCATTGCGCCTCTCAAAAACCCTCAACCCTGATACAAGCAGTGGGCTGGCTCTTGGGAGGACTTCTGCAAATATCAAACTTCCCTTTATAGCTGGATGTCAGTCTGGAGGAGTGGAAGTTTTTAGACAGACTAAAAATGCATGTAGAATTATTTAGGTGATGCTGAGCCTCCATGATTGAAAGAACAGAAATCCAATTAATGAAGGAGGTGGGCCAGGGATGAGAGGCTGGGTTAAATCATACTGGAGGTTCTCCAGCCAGGCAATGAGGAGGCTTGCTACAACTTCTAATGCACAATGTGAAAAACTCTCAGGGCATGCCAGATCCAGACCAGAAACATTTTTGCCTGGTCCAAAATGCATCCCCATGTATTCCTATGGTATTTCTGAGCTTTGTTAACACCATTGTGTTCAGTTCCAGTGCGTTAAAAAAATGACTTTACATGCATTCCAGACCAGAAAAAAAAAAATAGTAAACACATGAAAATGCACCTGAAAGGCCATTGACACAAAAAATTAATGCATTAAAAATGCATCAAAAACACTATACCGCATTTGTAGAAACTTGTGCAGGTCTGGTTTGGACATGTGAACAAGCCCTGAATATTTCAGTACAGCAGAGGAGCCTTGAGAACTGCAAGACTGAAAATAAGGCTGGAGTTCAGACTTGAGGTTAAACAAAGTAACAGGTTTGCTTTATAGGCTGGCCCACTATCTGCATATTTCACCTTCCTTCCCCCTCTTAATTGTGGTAAACATGCAGATTTTATGTGCTGAGGGGAAATTAAAGCAAACCTGTTGCTTTGCCCCGCATAGACTACAAGAATACAGGTGAAACTCGAATAATTAGAATATCGTGCAAAAGTAATTGCAGTAAGTGCTGCAAAAGGGGCCCAAACCAAGTACTGAGTACATATGCATGGTTGTACTTTTCAGAGGTCCGATATTGTTCTATGTACAATCCTTGCTTTATTGATTTCATGTAATCTACTTTTTTGAGGTTGTAGATTTGGGGTTCTTGGGGTTTTCCTGAGCTGTAAGCCATAATCATCACAATTATGACAAATCACAGCTTGAATTGTCTTGCTTTGCCTGTAATGAGTCTATCTCATATATTAGTTTCACCTTTTAAGTTGCATTAGTGAAATAAATGAACTTTGCACGATATTCTAATTATTCGAGTTTCACCTGTAGGATTACTTTATTATTATGAAGGGAAGTAGGTCTAAAATTCAACCAATTTGTATGGCTTTGGTATCATGATTACTGCACCTGTTCAAGAGTCTGAACCTAAGTGATCTTGCTGTAATATTTTATTAAATAATTCCACTAGATATGGTCCTAAACATTTTAAAAGTTTCTTATAGTAAAGTGCCGTAAATCCATCTGGTCCTGGACGTTTACTTATCTGTAGACCCTTTATTGCATTCTCAACTTCTTATATGGGCATCCATTGATGCCACAAAGTGTTCTGCAATCGGGAAAATTATTTCCGAGCAAAAACCTCATCAGTCTGTTGGAACTTCCACCAGTTGTTACATAGTTACATAGTATTTGAGGTTGAATAAAGACATAAGTCCATCCAGTCCAACCTATTGCGTGTATGCATTTATGGAGTGAGTGTGTATGACTACGTGTGAATTTGCTCTTAAGAGTACCTGTACCCCTGTATGTTATGGTCTCCAAGGAAATCGTCCAAGAGTTTCTTGAATTATTCCACACTCTTAGATGAAATCACTGCAGTGAGTGCAGACCTTAACCACTCTAACTGAGAAGAACCCCTTGCGCCCCGTGTGCTGGAATTTTTTCCCACCAATTTTTGGTGGTGGCCTCTAGTCTTTGTTATGGGGTTAACCGTAAAGAGTTTGTTAATAATGTTGCTGTCACCATTGAACAGTTTATACAAGAAAATCATGTCCCCCTTAATCTCCTTACTTCCAAAGAGAACATATTTAATTTTAACAGCCTCGTTTCGTTTCATAGTTCTGGTCCTCCAACCCCTTAATGAGTTTTGTTGCACTCCGCTGGACTTTTTCCAGCTCAAGGACATCTTTTCTGAGTACTGGTGACCAAAACTGGACGCATACTCCAGATGAGGCCGAATCAGTGCTCTGTAAAGTGGCAAAATTATAGATTCATCCCTGCAATACATTCCCTTCTTAATACAAGACATGACTCTACTTGCTTTGTTTACAGCAGCCTGGCGCTGCGAGCTATTCTTCAATCTGTGGTCTACAATGACCCCCAAAACTTTCTCCATGTCCGACTTCCCTAGTGGCACACCCATAAGTGTATAGCCCATTTGCCTATTTTTAACTCCAAAGTGCATTACTTTGCATTTATCGACATTGAACTTCATCTGCCATACAGTTGCCCATTCCCCTATTTTATCCAGTTCCTTCTGTAATGTTACAATGTCTAAATCCGTGTCTTTTACCCTCCCAATTTTCGTATCATCAGCAAACACTGAAACCTTTGCTATTTACTCCCTCCCCGATATCATTAATAAACAGGTTGAAAAGCATGGGGCCCAGCACAGAACCCTGGGGCACGCCACTCATGACCTCAGTCCAGTCTGAAAAGGTGCCAGTGATCAATACTCTTTGTACACGTTCCTGTAGCCAGTTTTCTATCCATGTGCACACTCTCATCTATACCCATAGCTTTCATCTATACCTTGGCTTGTATAACAAGCGTTTATGTGGCACCATATCAAATGCTTTGTAAAAGTCCAGATACACTACGTTCACCAGCCTCCCTGCATCCAGATCTC